GAGGTGGCAGGGCCCAAGTACTTCAGCGATTATCTGCTGCCTCCTGGGATGCGCATTAGCAGGAAGCTGGAGTTGGGGGAGTTGGGGAGTCAGGACTCAAACCAGACACTTCGATGTGGGATGGGGGTGTCCCAAGTAGGAACTTAACTGCTGCACCAAAACACCCACCTGGGGCCGGTGCAGTGGGTTAAGCTACCATCTGCAGCACCAGCATCCCATATGCCAGCTGCTCCACTTCCAATCCAGCTCTGACAATGACTCTGGAAAGCAGCGGAAGATGGCCCAAGTACTTGAACCTGTATACCAATGTGGGAGACCAAGATAAAACTCCTGGTTCCTGGCTCCCGGCTTCAGCTGGCCCAGCCCTGCCCATGTGGCCATCTGGTAGTGACGGAAGATCTCTCTCTGTAACTCTGCCTTTCAAATAAATAAATAAATCTTAAAAAAAAAACCACCCACTTCTATGATTTAATTTTTAATAATGCTTGTGTTTAATTGGCTTTGCAGAATTCCTGAAGGTTTAACAGATTTTGCATGGCTGTCCAAGCCAGTTCCAGCACACCACTGCTAAGAACATTGATGGATGTAATACCTAATCATCTCTGAATACATTGACAGCCGCGTCCATGTTGTGTGCTCTGAGTTCCTTTTTGTTTGTCTTTTAATTTAGATATTGTTCCAAATTTAGTTGTAATCCTCTTAAGGGACTGGTCCCGGCTCTGGGTGCAGTTTGTTGTACTCAGATGCAGTTACTCTTTTCAACTGCTAGGTGGCGGAGTTGCTGTTGCTGATGGTGCTAACATTACCTTCTATCAATAGTTTATAAAAATTACTCACATTTTTAAAAAAGTGTTTACTTATTTATTTGAAAGGCAGAGTGACAGGGAGAGAAGGAGAGACAGAGAAAGAGCTCCTCCACCCACTGGTTCACTCCTCAAATGCCAGGGCTAGGCCAGGCCAAAGCCAGGCGCCCAGAACACCACTTGGGTGTCCCGCGTGGGTGGCAGGGTTTTCATCTGCTGTTTTCAGAGGTGTTTTAGCAGGAATCTGGGTTGGAAGTAGAGCAGCCAGGACTCCCACTAGCACTGGGATAAGGGATGTGGTGGTGGCTTTAACCACTGAGCCACAATACCAGCCCCTCACAGATTATTTCTTTGGTTTTTTTACAACTTTCCAAAAAGATGACTCTAGATTTTGGGTGGATGGAGATTGAGAATACAATCAAATTTTTAAAAATTACATCCATTTTGGGGCCAGTGTTGTGGCATAGTGGGTAAAGCTACTGCCTATAACATCAGCATCCGATATGGGCACTGGTTTGTGTCCTGGCTGCTTCACTTCCCATCCAGCTTCCTGATAATGGCCTGGGAAAAGCAGCAGCAGGTGACCCAAATGTGTGGACCCTGTCATCCATGTGGGAGGTCTGAATGAAGCTCCTGGCTTCAGCTTGGCCTTGCCCTGGCCACTGTGGCCATCTGGGGAGTGAACCAGCAGATAGAAAATTCTCTCTCATTCTCTGTAACTCTGCTTTTCAAATACATAAATCTATTGGAAAAGTAGAGTTACAGAGAGAGAGGGAGAGACAGAGAGATCTTCCATTTGCCAGTTCACTTCCCAAATGGTCCCAATGGCTGGAGCTAAACTAACCCAAAGCCAGGAGCCAGAGCTTCTTCCAGGTCTCCCACTTGGGAGCAGCGCCGGTCGTAGCAGCCATTAGGGGAGTGAACCAATGGAAGGAAGACCTTTCTCTCTGTCTTTCTCTCACTGTCTATAACTTTCTCTCTGTCTCTCTCTCACTTCACTGTCTAATTCTGCCTGTCAAAAAATAAAAAATAAATAAATAAAATAAAAGTGGATCAGCCAGGACTCGAACCAGCACCCATATGGAACGCTGGCACTACAGGTGGCGGCCTTACTTGCTATGCCACAGCACCAACCCAATAAATCTTATTTTTTTTTAATTGCAGCCATTTTAAAGATGAAGGGATTGAGTTTCAGAAAAAGCAGTTAACTTTGATAAACTAAAGACACTAGGATGTCTTGTGTTCCTATCACTAGACCTTGGTCCTTCTTTTTGCTTCTTTTGGTCCTTCTAGAGTTCTTTTTTTTTTTAAAGAGAAATTCAGGGGCCGGTGCTGTGGCATAGCAGGTAAAGCCTCCGCCTGCAGTGCCAGCATCCCAAATGGGTAGCTCCGACCATGTGGCCAACTAGGAAGTGAACTAGCGGATGGAAGACCTCTCTCCCTCTCTCTTTGTAACTGACTTTCAAATAAATAAATGAACCTTTAAAAAAATAAAGAGAAATCCAAATAAACATTGTGTTTTTCTAGATAAATCAACTGCCAATTTATTAACTAAAATTTTAGCTAACTCCTAATGCATTAAAATATACCTACTAGAGAAGTCAGGAATCGAAGTGACGTGAGGCATTGTTCTCTTGTATCTCATGTCCCCCTCTAATTTGGTTCCCAATAAGTAAACCTTGGAGTTCCCATGTCAGGGATGAGGAGCTGCCTTGCAGCTCCAAACCAGTGCTGTTCCCAACATCCCAGGTGACCTGTTGGTGGCTACAAACACAATGAGGCAGAATGCTGCACTCCCCAGTCCCAGAATGGTCCCTGTTTTCACAGGAAGGAGCAGGACTCACAGGGGGTTCCAAGTGAGTCTGGAAAGTTTCATTTCATAAACTAGGTGGTAGGTGCAGGGGTTGTTATTACAGGCTCTGTATCTTCTTATATACCCAGCGGAACTCATTTTCAAAGCCTCTGTGAAGTCTGGAATTATAAAAGCAGTTCATTCAGCAAGTTTCTTTGTGTACTTTGTGATGCTCTTCAGTGAACAAGTCTTAGAATTGGGATTCATCCCTAATTCATTGCAACACGCTGAGTGCCTGCTATGAGTGAGATGCAAAGCTAGATGCTAATGACTCCCCCCAAGTTCAAGAGGGACACAAAGCTCCCATGGTGGAAACGAACTTCAGAAGGTGTGGGGGAGGCGATAAAACATTAAGGAAGAAATCATAAGTTGGGACGGCTTCATGGAGGAAGATGGCAATTAAACTGCTTTTTTCCTTTTTTTTTTAATTTGAGAGGCAGACAAATAACCCATGGCCACTGGTTCACTCTTCAATGCCCACAAAGGCTGGGGATTGACATGGAGCTAGGAGCGCAATCCACGTCTCCCACGTGGTTAACAGGGATCCAATGACTTGAGCCATCACTGCTACCTCTCAGGGTATGCATAAGCAGGAAGCCAGGGTCAGGAGCCAGAGCCAGGAATCCAACCCAGGCACTCCGATGTGGGCTGGGGCATCTTACCACTGGGCTAAACGTCCACTCTTGTATGCTGAATCTTGAAGGACAGGTTGGGCACAGGGGAGGGGTTGAAATGAAGGAAGCGAGTATCCTGTGCCAAGGGTACAGCGGGAACAAAGTGGCCGGAGGAGGGGTGGTGCGCGAGGCCAGCCAGGGCTCCAGTTGGCCTGGTGAGCTCTGTCATGGTGAGGAGTTTGGAAAAGGAGGTGGGTCAGCTCCCAGAGGACCCTGCAGCAGTGGCAGCAGAGGTGGGAGGCCTCTGTGCACTGTGCAGCCACACACCAGAGCCAGCCACCCTTGGTAAGGGGGGAAGGGCAGGGGAGGCAAGAACAGGCCCAGGGCCAAAGGGGTGGAGAGCCAGGAGCCGGGAGGGGTGTGCTGCCCCTGTGCCTGGTGGGCTCCCTCCTCTCCAGTTCCTCCTGGGAGCAGACATTCAGCCCAACAGTTAAGACACCATTCGGGCCACCCGCATCCCCCAGTTTCTGATCCAGCATCCTGAGAATGTGCACCCTGGGAGGCAGCAGAAGGCCCAGGTGCTTGGGCTCCTGCTGCCCACGTGGAAGACCCGAATAGAGGTCTGGGCTCCTGGCTGCTGCCTGGCCCAGGCCTGACTACTGTAGGCATCTGGGGAGTGAACTAGTGGAACGGAAGATTTCTGTCTCTTTTTGCCTTTCAAATAAAATGAAAATGACATCACATTTTAAAAGATGTTTAAAAGGGAGTGTGGTTTGCACTTCTTTATTTATTTATTTATTTTTATTTGAAAGAGTTACAGAGAGGTAGAGACAGAAAGCTAGGTCTTCCATCCACTGGTTCACTCCCCAGATGGCTGCAATGGCTGGGCTGCGCCAATCCGAAGCCAGGACCAGGAGCTTTTTCCGGGTCTTGCATGTGGGTGCAGGGGTCCAAGGACTTGGCCATCTTCTACTGCTATCTCAGGCCATAGCAGTGAACTGGATCGGAAGAGGAGCAGCCAGGACTAGAACCGGCACCCATATGGGATGCCGGCGCTTCAGGCCAGGGCTTTAACCTGCTGCACCACAGCGCCGGTCCCCAGTTTGTACTTCTGGGTGGTCGGTGGTCCTTCCTCCTTGCTAATGGGTCTCCCATGGTGCCTCCATCATGGGACTCCGTGTGGGGAGGGGACAGAGCCAGGAGAGCAAGAACAGCCGGGAGAGGCAGACAGCACCTCTGCGGGCAGCTTGAGCACTAAGGGTGAGCTGGCCTGGGGGAGTCAGACGGGAGAGGCCGCTGGGGGCTGCGCCCTTGTCCACAGGCTGGGGAGGGGGTGGCCCTCCTGGGTGACATCTGGGGCTGCCAGGGACCTGGACTGCACACCTAAAAGGGAGGGCTTGGGGCAGAGGGACTGGGGAGGGCTGGGGTGCTGGATGGTCCCGCCTTGCCCTGTGCTAAGCTCTGGAAGCAGTGAAACTGCTCAGTGTCCAACACTTCCATCAGAGAGGCCCTGGGGCAGCAAGGATGAGCGTTTCCAATCCTGCCTGACTCGGGCCGGCCTGTGCCTGCAAGGTGGGAAAATCAGGTGCATCGTGAGTCATTTCAACAGCCCGCCTGTTTCTTGATTTAGTAACATTCTCTAAACATTGGCATTAGCTCTGGCCCTTTGCCTCTCCTCTCTCATCCATCTGTCCATCATCTGTCCATCCAACGAACCAACGAATCCACAAATACTGTCATGTGTCAGGTGCTATTGTAGGCTTTGGGATACAACAGTGAGCAAAGCAGACGGGAGCCTGCAGGGTTCTGGGGGAGAGGAAGAGCCACCAGGTAACCACCGTGCAAATGGAAGGCGGGCCGCACTGGAGTCTTGTCCAATGGAGCAGAGAAGGCTTCTCGGAGGAAGTGGCTCTGGGCCGTTATCTGGGGAAATAAGAGAAGGGAGGAGAGGTCAGGGTGCTGTGGCAGAAGGCAGCTGGGTCAGTGTGGGGAGGGGAGGTCAGCAGGGGCCAGGCCCACAGGGCTTCACAGGCCTCGTACAGAAATTGTTCAGGGGCGGGCTTGTGGGGCAGCAGACGAGGCAGCACCAGAGATCCCCGTGTCCCACATCAGAGTGCCTGGGTTCGAGTCCCAGCTCTGCATTTGATCCTCGCCTCCTGCTAACATATACGCAGGAAGGCAGCAGGTTCAAGTACTTGATCCCTGCTAAGCAAGAGACTCAGACTGGATTCTGGGATCCTGACTTTGGCCCTGCCCAGCCCAGGTTGTTTGAGATGGAAGGTCTTTCTCTCTTTCTTTCTGCCTTTCAAATAATAAAAATGAAAATAAATAAAGCTTTTAAGAAATAAATTGTTCTTTAGAGCAACAGGGAACAGATACAAGTTTTTCACCAGCGTCACATTTAGAAAGTATTCTGGTGCTGGCTGTGTGAACAATGCAGGGGGCTCATGGGAGGGGAGCTGGACCTTTCAGATTTGGGAGGCCAGAGAGGAAGGCCTGGCCGGGGTCTAAAGGAGAGTTGACCATGGCTCAGACTAGAGAAATGTCTGGAAAGTGAATTTGTCAAGACAGGGCTGAGGCTGGATATGGGGAGTGGGAGAGGAAGGGTGACTGCCAGTTCTGTCCTGGGCCATGGAAGGAGTGCATTCAGTGAGGTGAGAAACGCTGAGGGTGGGCAGCCCGGGGCAGCACGCCGTGCCTTTGGTCTGGGGGATGTTGAGATGAAAATGTAAGAGGAGCAGGTGTTGTGGCACAGTGGGTTAAGCTGCCACCTGGGACCCTGCATCCCACATGGAGTCCCAGTTGCTTCACTGCCAATCCAGCTTCCTGCTCATGTGCCTGGGAGGCAGCAGACGGTGGCTCAAGTACCTGGGTCCCTGCCACTCACACAGGAGACCCAGCTGCAGTTTCTGGCTCCTTCCTTCAGCCTGGCCCTGCCCCAGCTGTTGTGTGTATTCCAGAAGTGAGCCAGAGGATGAAAGATTCTCTCTCTGTCTCTCTCTCTTTCCTCTCTAATAAAATAGGAAATAAAAGAATTCTCCTCTCCATCACAATGGCAGGCTGTGGCTTGCATGCAGTTAATAGAGTGCAGCTGAAGCGACATCGCAGGGATTCCAAGGCCAGGCCAGAAAAGGCCTTGTGCTGCATGGAATGCTCGTGCGTGGCGTCTTCAGTTGCTATGCAACACAGCCACCCCTAAGGCCTCTGTGCCGTGAGAAAGCCCCAGCTATGTGCAGGGGCTCCTGTGTGCAGCTGCCAGGTGACAGCCAGTCCTAACCACTGCGTCTGCGAGTGAGGACCTGCCATGAGCCTCCTTCCCCCAGTGGAGCCCCAGGCCCCCGGGGGGCAGACAAGCCACTCCCAGCTGCATTCTCAGGGGACACAGACCTTGAGCAGAATCACATGAGCGTTTTAAGCCACTACATTTTGGAGTCATTCGATTCCCAGCAAAAGCACCGGGGGCATTTGCTGAGATGGGAGCAGCTGGGGCTCCACAGTCCCACGCAGCTGGAGGAACAGTGCAGTGGCTTTTGCCTGCCTCTCTCCGCTCACCCTGGCCACACGTTCCCACCTCCCCTCGCCCAGTGTATCTGAGTTGCGTGTGGATGCATCTGTCCTAGCAGACTGGTCTGGGGTCCCGGCAGGGAAGACGGCAGAAACGCTCCTGGAAGCTGTGTCCTCCCCGTGCCCAGCACCCGGCTGGGCCCCGGAGAGAATCAGCAAGCACCTGTGGACACACGCCCGGCACTGGGCTGCTGTTTACTTCCCGGGCAGGACTGCCGGCAGCGGGGATCTCGAGCTTCTCTCCAGGACATCGGGGGAGCTGGAAGGAAGCTCTTGTTGGCTCTGGTGAACACAGACATATGATTGGGCTGAGCACAGTCGTTCTGAAAGCGCTCTTATGAATACCTCATTTGGACTGAAACAATGACTTGATTGAGAATGACGGTTTCCCAGTTGCTGGATTTTCCCCTCTGCGTTGTTGGCTGCTTGCTTGATTCATCAGACCGTTTCCAACCCTCCTAGGCTGTTTTTAAGCATTTCTGTCCATTTTCAGAACTTTTAAGGGGTTTTCCCAATTAGCTGTAATCACTGTTAGCCTACTTTTTACTCATTTTCAATATTTGCAATAGCAGAAAGTTGGAACTGCCTCCAGGTCTAATTGACTAGTGGATTGCTTAAATAGATTAATGTATGCAAAATATACAATGATTCCATTTTTCTGAAAAAATTGCGCACACACAAATATCTCAAAGGACATCCACTGGTGCCTGTTTAGCAGGAGGCGGGTACTCTGATTCTCCTGGAAGGTTGCTGCTGCTTTTTATTTTATTATTTTTTTTTCTTTTTCTTTTTTCTTTTTTTTTTTTTTTTGACAGGCAGAGTGGACAGTGAGAGAGAGAAACAGAGAGAAAGGTCTTCCTTTGCCGTTGGTTCACCCTCCAATGGCCACCACGGCCGGCACGCTGCGGCTGGCGCACTGCGCTGATCCGAAGGCAGGAGCCAGGTGCTTCTCCTGGTCTCCCATGGGGTGCAGGGCCCAAGCACTTGGGCCATCCTCCACTGCACTCCCTGGCCACAGCAGAGAGCTGGCCTGGGAGGGGGCAACCGGGACAGAATCTGGCGCCCCGACTGGGACTAGAACCCGGTGTGCCAGCGCCGCAAGGCGGAGGATAGCCTAGTGAGCCGCGGCGCCGGCCGCTGCTGCTTTTTAAGATTTATTTATTTTATTTGAAAGGCAGAGTTACAGAGAGAAACTCCCCAAATGGCTGAAATGGCTGGAGCTGGGCTGATCCGAAGCCAGCAGCCAGGAGCTCCTCCTGGGTCTCTCATGTGGGTGTAGGGGCCCAAGTCCTTGGGCCATCTTCCACTGCTTTCCCAGTTACATTGGCAGGCAGCTGGATCAGAAGTGGAGTAGTCAGGACTCAAACCAGAGCCTCTATGGGATGCTGGCTCTGGGCCACAGGTGGCAGCTTTACCTACTATACCACAGCACTGCCCTCCCTCTCCCAAGGCTTTTGAAACTCAGATCTCTGAGCTCTACCTGGGAAAAGAGACCCGCTGGGGTGGGGAGGGGGACGGGAGACAGCACATGTGTATTTCTCAAAGGCTTCCCTGGGAATTCCCGTGTATAGCTTGGATTGGGGACCACTGACTTGGACTCAGAAAAATATGGCTAGGAGGGCTCATTTAGTGTCCGGATGAATTGAGGCTCTAAGAAGGGACTTGCCCAGGGTCACACCATGTGGGGACGGTGAGGACCTGAGCCCAGGGCTCCAAACATGGAGGTGGGACTCAATCCAGATACTCCAACATGGGATGTAGGTGTCCTGAGTGGCAGCTTCGTCCACCACGCTACAATGCCTTTCCTAGGTCTTATTTTTAAATTGATGAAAAAAATCGTCTTCTATTTTTTAACTTTAAGTATGGACCACTCTTTCCATTAAAAAACCAATTTTGAAAAAAAGAAAAATAATTAACTAAGAGCTTTTTATTGGCACATTATCAACAAATAGTATGTACTCAGTACATAAAGAGGGGAGGGCATTTGACACAGTGGTCAAGATGCTGCCACAGAGTGACTGGTTCAAGTCCTGCCTTGTCTGCTTCGAATCCAACTTCCTGCTTTTTTTTTTTTTTTTTTTTGACAGGCAGAGTGGACAGTGAGAGAGAGAGACAGAGAGAAAGGTTTTCCTTTTGCCGTTGGTTCACCCTCCAATGGCTGCCGTGGCCGGCGCACCGCGCTGATCCGAAGGCAGGAGCCAGGTGCTTCTCCTGGTCTCCCACGGGGTGCAGGGCCCAAGCACTTGGGCCATCCTCCACTGCACTCCCTGGCTACAGCAGAGAGCTGGCCTTGAAGAGGGTCAACCGGGACAGAATCTGGCGCCCCGACCGGGACTAGAACCTGGTGTGCCGGTGCTGCTAGGCGGAGGATAGCCTAGTGGGCCGTGGCGCCGGCAACTTGGGCCATTTTCTATTGCTTTCCCAGGCCATAGCAGAGAGCTGGATTGGAAGAGAAGTAGCCGGGACTCGAACCAGCACCCATATGGGATACAGGCTCAACATGCCGGGGGTTTAACTCACTGCTCTACAGCTTATTTAACCTACTATGCCACAGTGCTGGACTCTAGGCACAACCTCTTATAGCAACATTTCTCAAAGTGTGATCTGGGATTCTTTCAACAAAATCATCTGGTGGAGACTAAATTATTTTTTAAAATGCAGAATCGCAGGTCTTGCGCGGAGCCCCACGTCCAAGGAAAGGGAGTCTGCATCGTAACAAACTGCCCCAGGAGAGTCTGACACGCACTTGACTCGGAGAGGGCCCAACTCCTATCTCCATGTACTTGCACCTGGGAGAGGTCCAGCTAGCTCTGGGGATAAACCTGGGCCTATGGGAGACAGCTCCCCACCCCCCACCACGCCCCACCTCCACTGCAGTCTTCCTCCGAAGAAATAAACCCTCTTTCTATGTATTCAAGTCATGTTTTATTTTTTTTTAAATTTTAAAAAAAGATTTATTTATTTGAAAGACAGTGTTACAGAAAAGCAAAGGGGGAGGGGGGGAGAGAGAGAGAGAAGGAGAGAGAGATCTTCCATTTGCTGGTTCACTCCCCAAATGGCTGCCACAGCCAGAGCTGGTCTGATCCAAAGCCAGTATCCAGGAGCTTCTTCTGAGTCTCCCACATGGGTGCAGGGGCCCAAGCACTTGGGCCATCTTCTACTGCTTTCCCAGGCCACAGCAGAGAGCTGGATTGGAAGTGGAGCAGCCAGGTCTTGAACTGGCACCTTTATGGGATGCTGGCACCGCTGGTGGTGGCTTTATCTGCTGCACCACAGAGCCACCCCTCAAGTCATGTTTTATAAACCTCAGTAACATTTAGGAGTTTCTTTATATTAAACTTGCATGTTTCTCATTAGCTTATTACTACATACTTTAATATTTAAATGTTAGTTTTTTAACCTCCAACTTTTTATGAAGTTTCAAGCTTACAAAAGAGTTGCAAATTCAACAATGAATTTTCAGGGGCTGGGGCTGTGGCATAGCGGGTAAAGCTGCCGCCAGCAGTGCCAGCATCCCATATGGCCGCCGGTTCGAGTCCCGGCTGCTCCACTTCCAATCCAGCTCTCTGCTATGGCCTGTGAAAGCAGTAGAAGATGGCCCAAGTCATTGGATCCCTGCACTCACATGGGAGACCCAGAAGAAGCTCCTGGCTCCTGGCTTCAGATCGGTGCAGCTCCAGCCATTGCAGCCAATTGGAGAGTGAACCAGCAGATGGAAGACTTCTCTCTCTGCCTTTCCTTCTCTCTCTGTGTAACTCTTTCAAATAAATAAATAAATCTTTAAAAAAATGAATATCCATATACCTACAGTCACTAGTTGTTGACATTTTGCCATATCTGTTTTATCTTTCTATTTTTTAAAAAAATTATTTTTCTTTTGAAAGGCAAAGAGAGAGAGAGAGAGAGAGAGAGAGAGAGAGAGAGAGAGAGAGATCTTCCATCCCCCTGAATGCCTGCAATACAGCTGGGGTTGGGCAGTCTGAAGCCAGGAGCCCAGAACTTCATCCAGGTCTTTCACATCGAGGCAGGGACCGCAGTCCTTGAGCCAGCACCTGCTGCCTTCCAGGGGGTGCATTAGTAAGAAGTCGGATCAGGAGCAGAGGAGTGGGTCTCGGGTATGGGACATGGGCATCTGGAGCGATGAGTTAACTACAGCACCAAACCCCTGCTCCTCTGTCTTTATCTAAAATTGTGCTTGTGTGTGTGTGTGTGTGTGTGTGTGTGTGTGTGTGTGTGTGTTTCTGGAACCATTTGAGAGTCCAATGCAGAAGTCATGACACTTCACTTCCAAAGACTTCAGCATTTATCTCCCAAGAATAGGGACATTCTCCTATATAACCACAGTATAATTCTCAGTCAGAAAATTGAACATTGGCATATTACTATTAAGTAATATATAACCTATACTCGAATTTTTCAATTGTTGCAATAGTGCCTTTTAAATGTTTATTTATATATTATGTATGTATTGAAAGGCATAGAGACAGACAAAGATCTTCCATCCATTGGTTCACTCCTCAAGTGCCTACAACAGTTGGGGGTGGGCCAGGCCAAAGATGGGAGCCCAGAACTCAATCCAGGTCTCCTACGAGGGTGGCAGGGGCCCAAGCACTTCAGCCATCACCTGCTGCTTCTCAGGATGCATTAGCAGGAATCTGTGCATTAGCAGGAATCTGAAGCAGAAGTGGAGGTAAGACTCAATCTCAGGAGGCCGGTGGTGTGGCGTGGCGGGTAAAGCCACTGCCTGCAGTGTCGGCATCCCATATGGGCACTGGTTCGAGTCCCAGCTGCTCCACTTCTACTCCACCTTCCTGCTATGGCTTGGGAAAGCAGAAGATGGCCCAAGTGCTTGGGCCCCTGCACTCCTGTGGGAGACCTGGAAAAAGCTCCTGGCTCCTGGCTTTGGATCCATGCAGCTCTGGCCATTGCAGTCATCTGGGAAGTGACCCTGCGGATGGAAGATCTCTCTCTCTCTAATCTCTCTCTCTCTGCCTCTGCTTCTCTGTAGCTCTGCCTTTCAACTAAATAAATAAATCTTTTTTTTTTTAAGACTCAATCCCAGGTGCTCCAATACGGGATGTGGGTGTCCCAGGCAACAACTTAACTGACTGTGCCACGATGCTGGCTCCAGTAATGTCTTTTTTTTCTTTTTAAATATTTTATTTATTTATTTGAGAGGTAGAGTTACAGACAGTGAGAGAGAGAGAAACAGAGAGAAAGGTCTTCCTTCCGTTGGTTTACCCCCCCCCCCAAATGGCCGCCATGGCTGGAACTACACCAATCTAAAGCAAGGGGCTAGGTGCTTCACCCCGGTCTCCCACGCGGGTGCAGGTGCCCAAGCACTTGGGCCATCCTCCACTGCCCTCCTGGGCCACAGCAGAGAGCTGGACTGGAAGAGGAGCAGCCGGGACTAGAACCCGGTGCCCATATGGGATGCTGGTGCCTCAGGCAGAGGATTAGCCAAGTGAGCCATGGCACTGCCCCCCCTCACCGTTATGTCTTTTATAGCTGTTTTTCCATCCTCTTCACCCAGGATCTAATGGAGAAGTGCATATTACATTTAGTAGTCTTGCCTCTTTAGTTTTATTTAATGTAAAACAGATTCTCAAATTTTAAAATCTGCTTAGCTTTTTTTAAAAGATTTATTTTGAAAGAGTTATAGTTGAGGGGGAGAGAGAGAGAGAGAGAGAGAGATCGATCTTCCATCCTCTGGTTCACTCCCAGATGGCTGCAATGGCTAGGGCTGAGCCAGGCTGAAGCGAGGAGCCAGGAGCTTCATCCAAGTCTCTCATGTGGGTGGCAGGGGCCCAGACACCTTGGGGCATCTTCTGCTGCTTTTCCCAGGCCATTAGCAAGGAGCTGAATTGGAAGAGGAACATCCACATGGGGTGCACCCAATGGGATGCTGGCTTTGCAGGTAGCAACTTTACCCACTATGCCACAATGCTGGCCCCATGAATAGTATTTTTGAAAACTGTATAATTTACAAACATTAAAATGCATGTATAGTAAGTATTCAATGTCATGGGTTTTGACAATTGTACATATCCAAAACAAGGGATATTTTTAAGATTTATTTTTTATTTGAGAGTCAGAGTTACATAGAGAGAGAGAAAGAAAGAGAGAGAGATATCTTCCATGCCCTGGTTCAAGTAGAAGCCATGAGCTTCATCTAGGTTTCCCATGTGGGTAACAGGAGTCCAAATACTTGGGCCATCTTCTGCTGCTTTCCCCAGGCCAGTAACAGGGAACTGGATTGGAAGTGGAGCATCCAGGACTTGAACTGGTGCCCATATGGTATTCCTGTGTCACAGGTGATGGGTTTACCCACTATACCATGAGGCTGGCCCCCAAAACAAGGGGTCTTAGTCCATTTTATGTCGTTATAACAAGATAATGTATAAAGTTGATCTGACTCACAATTCTGGTGGCTGGAAAGTCCATTCGGGGTGGCATCTGGTGGGGGCTCCCTGCTTGCATCACAGCATGGCAAATGGCATCACATGGCTGGAGGGGGACCAAGAGACCGGGGAGGAGTCAGGCTCGCTGTCTTGCGAGAACTAAGCCAGTGCCTGTGAGAGCAGAGAACGACATAAATGCCTTCCAAAGGTGTTGCTCGTGATCTACTCCCCTCCACTGGGGCTGGCCCCTAAAGAGCTACCACATCTCAGTGCACTGCCCTGCAGTCCACACTTCTAGCACATGAGCCTTTAGAGAACACCCAAACCATATGTAGACCACAGCACAGGGAGCATTCCAACCCCCAAGCCACTCTCCAATCCATCTCCCACCCAACCCCAGCCCCATAGCCACTTTCTGACTTCCGTTACTATAGATCAGTTTTGTCATCCTTGACCTTCATGTAACCAGAACTACAGAGTATGGATTTTTTGTATGTTTGTTCACATAAACAATCCCATTTTAGTTTTTCTAGCATAATATTATGAGAGTCATCTATGTTACCATTAGTTTGTTACTTTTTTTTTTATTATTTGACAGGTAGAGTTATAGACAGTGAGAGAGAGAGACAAAGGTCTTCCTTCCGTTGGTTCACTCCCCAAGTGGACACAATGGCTGGAGCTGCACCAATCCAAAGCCAGGAGCCAGGTGCTTAATCTTGGTCTCCCATGTGGGTACAGGGGCCCAAGCACTTGGGCCATCTTCCACTGCCCTCCTGGGCCACAGCAGAGAGCTGGACTGGAAGAGGAGCAACCGGGACTAGAACCCGGTGCCCAGATGGGATGCCGGTGCCGCAGGCAGAGGATTAACCAAGTGAGCCCCGGCGCCGGCCCATGTTACTTTTTATAATAATTAGTATTGTATGAACATACTTCAGTTTGTTTAACCATTCTCTTGCTGATGAACATGTTGGTTTCTAATCTTTAGCTTTTGTGAATATGTTTGTAAGTCTTTTAGCTTTTTAAAGATTTATTTATTTATTGAAAGGCAGAGTTACAGAGAGGCAGAGGCAGAGAGAGAGAGAGAGAGAGAGAGAGAGAGAGAGAAAGGTCTTCCATCTGCTGCTTCACTCCCCAAACGGCTGCAACAGCAGTAGCTGAACTGATCTAGGAGCTTCTTACAGGTCTCCCATGTGGGTACAGAGGCCCAATGATTTGGCCATCTTCCACTGCTTTCCCAGGCCATAACAGAGAGCTGGATCGGAAGTGGAGCAGCCAGGACTTGAACCAGCGCCCGTATGGGATGCCGGTACTGCAGGCGGTGGCTTTACGTGCTACAGGATGAATAACGTTGGGGAGCATTTCTTATGCTTATTGCCACTAAAATATCTTTTATTCTGAAGTGTTTATCCAAGCTTTCTGACTTAAATTTTTTTCTAAATATACCTGTTTTCATTTATTTGAAAGGCATATGGGGCCGGTGCTGTGGCTTCAGATTGGCCCAGCTCCATCCATTGAGGCCTTTTGGGGAGTGAACCAGCCAATGGAAAATCTCCTCTCTCTGTCTCTGCTTCTGCCTCTCTGCAACTCTACCTTTCAAATAAATAAATACACCTCTCTCTCTTTTTTTTTTTTTTAAGATTTATTTATTTATTTGAAAGTCAGAGTTACTGAGAGACAGAGAGAGGTCTTCCATCTGCTGGTTCACTCCCCAGTTGGCTGCAATGGCCGGAGCTGGGCTGATCTGAAACCAGGAGCCAGGAGCTTCCTCCAGGTCTCCCACGTGGGTGCAGGGGCCCAAAGACTTGGGCCATCCTCCACTGCTTTCCCAGGCCATAGCAGAGAGCTGGATTGGAAGTAGAGCTGCTGGGACTCGAACCGGTGCTCATATGGGATGCCGGCGCTGCAGGCAGCAGCTTTACCCGCTAAGCCACAGCGCTGGCCCCAATAAATGCAACTTTAAAAACCCAGCCTGAGAGGTTACTGTGCTTAGCCTGAGGACCACCCATGCTTCACAAGGAATCGAGGATTATGTCTTACTTTTGTAGCCTTCTTGGACAAACAATAAAAATCTTAAGAAAAGAAAAGCAAGGCATAGAGACAGGGCGAGTGAGCGAGTGAGCACTTACATCTGCTGGGGCAGCCCTCCAAGTCCTGCACCAGCTGGGACTGGGCCAGGTGGAAGCCGGGAGCCCAGAACTCACTCACTCTGTGGGTGGCAGAGACTGAAGTACTTTGCCATCTGCTGTCTCCCAGGGTGCACATAATAGGTAGCTCAATGGAAAGCAGAGCCAGATTCGAACCCAGGTATTCCAGCAACGTGGCCATCCCAAGTGGCATCTTAGCTGCTGCACCAAGTGCCTGCCCAGGGCCCAGAATCACAGGTTTCCTCCCTTCCTTTCTTGGCTACGCTCCCTAGGCCCTGCCTCCTGCCACGTGGTGAGTGAGTCCTGGCGTGCCAGGCCACACTGTGCAGTAGCGAGCGTGGCCTCATGCCCACCTCCTTCCAAGACAGGATTCTGAGAAGCTGAGGCTGGGAGAGGTCATGAGCTGCTGTGTGCTTTCCACTCCACGCCACACCTCTTTCTGCACCTGTAAACGCAGACAATTTCTAAAAGAAGACCAACAGACCAGCAAAGGGGGCCTCTGACTGCCACAGGTGCATAGGGTTGGAGGTCAGAAGTTGCAGATTCCATGCCTGCCTTGGTCACAAATGTCTCCTTGGAGTCTCAGACAAGTACTCCAGTCCCCTCATTTTATGGAAGAAACAGAAGGCCACAGGTCATCTCTGTTCTAGCTTTGAAATTCTATGCATTTCTGATCTCTCCCTTCCCACCCAGTTCAGAACCTGAGCTGCAGGACCCCTGCCAGGGATGTGGGGCTGGGGTGGAGGGCACTTAGGAGCTGGTTGGAAAACAGGCGACCCAGAGCTTCCTGGAGCCTGGCTGCCCTTCCCCGTGTGCCTCTCACACTGGTTTCTTGGCAACATTCTATTTTTCCCTTCCTCAACCTCAAAGTTGAACAGTAGAATCCAAGGTTAAAATGCCCAAGGCGCTCTCAGGCTCACAAACAGAAAAGGTCCAAACCATAGTAGCTTCTCAGTGGGCCGGGAGTGGGTCCTTCTACATGGCAGCATTCCCTAACGTCCTCTCGTGGGATCCCTATGGTAACTCTGTGATTAACACCCCTGCTCCTACTTCACATGTGTCCTAATAACTGACGGAATCAGGACTGACAGCCAGTGCCCATGTGGCTCCATATTCAGCTTCTCTGACCACACCAGACTGTAGCCAATCATCAAGCAAAACCCCACAGTAGAATTGCATTTTAAGTAACTTCCAGGATGTCCAAGTTGCTTGATATCGGAGACCTGTGGCTACAGTAGGGGCATGTTGGGGCTCATGGTGTGGTGCAGTGGGTTAAGTTGCTACCTGTGACACTGGTATCTCAGATTGGAATGCTGGTTTGAGTCCTGACTGCCCTGCTTCTGATCCAGCTATCTGCTATCACACCTGGGAAAGCAGTGGAAGATGGCCCAAGTGCTTGGGCCCTTGCCACCCACGTGGGAGACCTGGATGGAGTTCCAGGATCCAGCCTCTGGCCTGGCCCAGCCCTGGCTATTCTGGCCATTTGAAGAGTGAACCCAGTGAATGGAAGATCTCTCTCTTTCAAATATATATATATATATATATATATATATATATATATATACACACACACACACACACACATATATATATAAGTAGGGGCATGTTTTTGAGAAGAGGTGTTTGGTTTTACTGTACAATATATTGGAAACCAGCTGAGGATGGCTTGTGGGTGCTCTGGGATGCAGGGCTGGGTGTGTGACCCTGAGTGTGCTGGGAAAACAAAGAAACTTGTCCCTGCTGTTGCCAAGCAGCATGGTCAAGTGCATGCTACAAAGTGTCAGATATGTGAGTTCTGCGACGCTGACTGAGGCTGCCTGGTGACAGAAGTGGCAGGACAGTGTCCCAGAAAGAAGTGCTGAGGGCTCTTGCCTTTTCCCTTCCCCTCCTGAAGCAGCCAGTCCAACAGCTGTTTGGGAGCCTGAGAAAGGCAGGCCTATGTTGGGGGCTTCTGGAAGAAAGGGGTGTCCCTTTGGCCAAGAGTAGGGCATCAAAAAGCCAAGGGTGGCCGGTGCCGTGGCTCCCTAGACTAATCCTCTGCCTTGCGGCGCCGGCACACCGGGTTCTAGTCCCAGTCGGGGCGCCAGATTCTGTCCCGGTTGCCCCTCTTCCAGGCCAGCTCTCTGCTGTAGCCAGGGAGTGCAGTGGAGGATGGCCCAAGTGCTTGGGCCCTGCACCCCATGGGAGACCAGGAGAAGCACCTGGCTCCTGCCATGGGATCAGCGTGGTGTGCCGGCTGCAGCGCGCCAGCCGCGGCAGCCATTGGAGGGTGAACCAACGGCAAAGGAAGACCTTTCTCTCTGTCTCTCTCTCTCACTGTCCACTCTGTCCAAAAAAAAAAAAAAAAAAAAAAAAAAAAAAAAAAGCCGAGGGAGTAGGGAGAAGGGGCCCCTCACACAGGTGTCCCATTTTGGGGTGTTGGAGCCCAAGTGGGACATGGTGCAAGTCTAATCAAGAGGGTGACCCCACACAGGTAGGTAAGGGCATCTATCAGGTGGGTGTGTGAGCAAGGATGGAGTGAGGAGGGCTTCCATGTTGGCGGTGACTTGGGGGGAGAAAGGCTGTGGTGTCAATGTGGGATGTCAGAGACAGAGGGAGGGAGGGAGGAAGGGAGGAGGGCATGCAGGAGGGAGGGAGCTCTGATGGAAGGGTGGCTACGTGTGAGGGGCTGATAAAATGAGTAAATACGTTAAGGCTCATGAGAGCAAGGTTTCCCACTGTTGGCCGAGGAAGTACCTCCAGTGGTGTACTTGGATCACAGGTGTAGGTATGAACTTGTGGGTTTTGAAATTTATTCATTTGCAAGTAGACATGGAAATAACTATAAATATAATGTGTATAGAGCTCTCTCCATTGAGAGGATCTGGGAACAGCGCTGCTCTAATAGCAATGAGCACACCCAGTACCCAGCTGTTGGTTTCTAAACACCATTTTCCAATAAAGAAACTGAGGCTCCAGGGACAAACTGTTGGGTTGGAAAAGTTTAAGATGAGCCTTGAACACCTCATTGCACCAGAAGGCAAGGAA